GGTCTGGTCTTGGGAAAACGACTAAAGTCCGAGAGAACTACAAGAGCACTGAACAGGTACTGCTGACAGTGTGGGTGTGGCTGGAATGGGGGACACTGGTGGTGGCGCCTGGCCGGACACAGAGCTGCCACGTTAACATCCTCCGAGTACAGGAATGTAGCCCTCAAGGCTCCGTTCCCTGCGGAAGAAAACGCGCTTTATAAAAACACCCAGAAGAGTGACTTTGCAAGAACCCTCTATTAAACCAGTAAAAGAAAGTAAGTTAAAACTCATGTGGATTTATTCACAACTTTAACATAGACGCATCATTTAACGGAAAAGATTTGAGGACTGTGAGTGAGTTCTCACCAGAAGTGATTTGAGAACACCAAGATGTTAAGTGTTTGGCTTACAAGCTATCACTTCCGGGCCTCAATTTCCATCTGTAAAAGGGGAATGATAGACTAATACTTGCCCTATTCTGATGGGTGGTTTAAAAAAAAAAAAAAAAAAAGTGTGCTATTCTGCTCATTTACATGCACTGACTCGGGGGGCGGATTTTACAGAAGAAGAACAGAAATGAGAAAAGGTTAAATAATAGCTAGCAGGTGGGGGAGGTAGAATTTTATCCCAGACAGCTTGACTCCAGAGTTTATGACAAAAAACCCCTGTTTTTACAATGTCTCTCACAAGTGGCATCATTACTATGAGCTATAATTACAACTAGTAAAAATTTTAAGTCCTCCTATACTTGTATAATCCTGATTCTCCCTGCTTCCGAAAAGCACTGGGGGCAAAGACCAGAAGCAAGCTAGCCCTGGCCTTGGCTCTTAAGTAGCCGCAGGGCCTTGGAAAAGTCTAGACCTCTGAGTGTATATCTTCATCTACCCGGTGATGTCTGTCCTATGACTCTGCCCTCCTTAGCTCACAGATTTTATAAAACATTGGAATTAAGAAAACGGATTACAAAGGTGCTTTGAAAAAAAAAATTGTACGTGTAGGTGTATGATGATTACAATCTCTTAGAAGACACACACTGACATAGTTTTTACAAATTCCCATTTTAAGCTACCTCCATATCCCTGCAAATTACTCAGGACCTGATTTTGGAAAAGAAACCCTGTTTTTTTCCGACTACATTTTCCCCTAACACTGACGCCACCATGCTATTTTTAGCCCCTGTGTGCACCTGTGCTTTGGAAATCAGTGTCTGTCAAAATATCTCACTTCTTTTCCCCGTTCATTAAGCTTACCCTTGAGTTATACTTGGCTTTCATTGATCTAAGAGACTTGATATTATTTTTGTATTACTTTAAAATGATAATTTGAAAACACCAGGAGAGAACTTATCTCTTCAGAAAAACACAATGTATTTCTGGAATCCCCAATGAAGGGGCCCAGCTAAATTCCCTCCTTTCCTCTGACATGCAAATAGTTAGAATAAGAAAATGGATTTTCAGGGCTGGGAGTGCAGACATGCTTTCCGCCCTGGGGAGCCTGCCCCCACCCCACAATGGGGAGCCAGGTGCAGCACCGAGGGCACAGGACCGGCAGGCAGAGGGGAGGGGAGGGGAGCAGCTCATTTTATCCCCACAGCCTCCCAAGGTAGGAACCATCATCACCCCCAGCTTTTTCTTGAGGAAAGCTGGGCCCTCATGAGAGTTTAGGTGATCTGCACAGAGTCCCTCACTTAGAAGGAGGCCCACATCTGCACTGGCATCTAAGGCCTCTGAAAAGGGGTAAGACATCGTTCTTTACTTACTAGTCCCACAGCTTCTGTTGAGAGAGTGGGTGGCAGCCAGCCTTGAACTAAAATTCTCCCAAACAATCTGCTGCTGAAATAATGACAAACGCTACCCAGAGTCTAAAGTGGGGGGAGTTCTAAAGTACCAAAAGCAGACTTTTTTTTTTTTCTGAAACGGTATAAATTGATTGCTTTGGAGGTAAGAAACTCTACACAGGTCACCAAACAAGAAAGAAGAGGAGCATCCATGTGCCAAATGCTGATGTTAGCAAAGTGTGGCTTTTTCTTTTCTTTTTTTTTTTTTTGACATCCTAGGTAGGCAAGAAAAACGAATGAAAAATGAAAGGCACCGAGGCTCAACTGTGGACTGTAAAAGAGCTATTGGAAGCCATCTATCCTACCCCTGGGTATGTACTCAACAGAAACGCATACCTGTGTTCACCAAGACATGTACCAGAATGTTCACAGCACTATTCATTACAGCCAAAACCAGACACTATCCAAAAGACCCATCATCAGTAGAATGGGGAAAAGAGATGGTGATCTAGTCACACGATGGACCGATATGAGGAGGAACAATCTATACCCATGAGCAACAGTACTAGTGACTCAAATGCACTGTTAAAAAGAGACCAGACCCAATAGAATACATCCCGTAAGATTTCATTCATAGAAAGTAAACTAATTGGCAAACGCAATCTATGATACTAAAAGGTAAGATAGTAGTTACCCTTGGAGGGGGCAGTTACCAGAAGGGAGCTACAGGA